ATATATATATATATATCCATTGAGGAGCCGAATTCCTTGTTGTTGTATCATGCAGCAGCAGCAGGAACATCGGCGAAACACGTGTCTGGGCATTTACCCAGTATCTATGACGAAATTACGTTAAAGCATCATTATAATATAGAAATCTTGTGTCTGACCATTTAAAGTCATATCCCGACCACCTACATCCGTGTCATGCAATAAATAATTTCCGCAATTATTCCACTGATATCCATATATATATATATATATATCTAGGGTAGGGGGCAGGAGGGAAAACCTGAACACCATTCCACCATAATACAGTAGGGTGAGTGCTGAATGAAACATTTCGCAATTTGAAAAAGACCGGTAATCTCTTGAGTAGGGTTGCAATACTGTTTATCATGCAGTCCAATTTAAATTTTTTTCGGTCACGCTAGGATGCCGGCTCTGTGATGAGCTTCTTTCTGACCGCTGCGAAAAAGTTGATTCTGTAAAAATGGTTACTTACATAGTATGTATTTTTATCCTTGATTTTGACTGCCTTTATAAATTCAAATATATTTTATGGAAAGCATGTATGAAAAAATCCTCTGTTGTACTTATTTGATAGCAAATAACGTCTTCTTTAAATTTTGTTCTAAAAGGAAGAATTTCCTTTGGTTTTAAAAAATTTCTAATTTTGAGTGTTTTTACGACTGTGTTGTTCATTCATAATACATCGTATCCGTCAATTTATCAAAGCTGCCCCTGATATATACAGCATGATCCATGTATATTGCGATATTCCATGAGAGCTATGCAACCAAAATCATTCGGCAATTTAAAAACTTTTTTTTAAATCGAAGGAAACTCTTCCTTTAAGAATAAAATTTAAAAAAGACGTAGTTTGCTATTAAATGGGTACAACAGAGGATTTTTTCGTACATGCTTTCCATAAAATATATTTGAATTTATAAAGGCAGTCAAAATCAAGGATAAAAATACATACTATGTAAGTAGTCATTTTTTACAGAATCAACTTTTTTGCAGCGGTCAGAAAGAAGCTCATCACAGAGTCGGTATCCTAGCGTGACTGAAAATAATTGAAATTTGACTGCATGACAAACAGTATTGCAGCCCTACTCAATTTTGGTTTGCGAGTGATCACCGTTATTTTTAAAATAGCGTAATGTTTCATGTAGCACTCGCCATACTGTATGTACATACAGGTAAGGAGGTTTCAACAAAGTCAAGGGAGACCGGGATGACCATTTCTGGCTTATAAGCAGTCATTAGCCATTCGCGCCGTACTCTAATCAATATAGGTGTATGTGTAAAGCTACGGATTTTGCAAATGTTTCAGGGAAGAACTTGAATTTTGAGAGCCTGGGACATGATTTTGCAGGGTTGGCCCCGAACTACTTTGCGAATTAATCGTTTAGTTTTCGTACTCAAAAAACAATTAACGGAAACTGGCAAGAGTACGTTGGGCACCAACTTAACCTCACAACTGTGCCTTATAGCAGCAGTAAAATCGAGGAAAATTGCATGGGCGTTTAGCTAATAGCTATTTTGGTAGCATTGCGAATCGAGTTTCATGAAAGTATGATGAGTAAGTGAGGTCATCTGCATTCCAAGACGGTACAATAAAACCCAGTAAAACTGATTGTTTTTCAAGCAGCGTTGTCTTGTCATATATATTGGGCAAAGAGGTTATATCGTATGTCCACACCACAGACAGGTTTTTCGTCAGTGTTTCTGCTGCTACATTATGCGGCAGCTAGGGGTTCGAGTCGTCAGTGGGTCACTCAGCGGTCCCTCTGAGCGGTTTAGCTATGCGGAAATATGTAGGTACATTAACACTACTAGCAATGCCATTAAGGTTATAATAATGAGTGCTTTAAGACAAATCAAAGGGCCCGAGGGAGGGAGAGCCCCAGGATGATTATTTCCCGTAAAACGATCCGTAGACATCCCACTGCCATGAATGCCCCAGTATACCCCCATTATCTTTCGTTCCCAATTGTAATTATACAATGGCTCACTTCGGCGGATGGTTATTTAGCTGTTGATGCACTTTGCCACTAATACGGAATGAGAAACCAAAGAAGATGGCTGTGCAACCATTTCTGATTTAAAAATTATCCAGTCGGAAGCGACAGATAATAACAAAATAGTGGGGCAGTAATGGACCTCCGTTCGATTACGACTTACCTGCCACATCTTGTCTCTGTGCCACGGTAGGATCGATTGAATGAAGATACACTACGCCCGAGGCAATTGTCTACCGATTTGCCTATATTTCCACCCGCAGCCCTCTTCGATTTATTTGTATTCGAGCCCTGGGTTGGTACACCACTTGAGGTTGGGTAGGGCTGGCTGATGATGATGGTAACCATGACCGAAATGGAAAATCCAATCTCGCGGGTCGTCAGTGTTTATCTGCCTGAACTACTTGCCGCTGTGTGGATTCTGGAGCGGCTGCCCTAAGGCAGAGCGGGACGAATGAGTTCCGTTGGCGATCGACGAATATTCATCAACGAACGTATACATATGTATGTGTGTACTGCTTTGAGAGTTATCTGATCTAGTGACTCCGGTAGAGTGGAGGACGAGCAACTCCCAAGTAGTTGACCTTTACAAAGAAAAAGCCCCGAAATTTGTTAGGACGCACTAGTCTCCTTTATGGACGAAGTTCAAATAATCCTCTACCAAACATCGTTGAAGGTAAAATGCAAGGGCGATAGTAGCCTTCTTTTTGTTTCTTAATCCTCGATAGAATACCTCAAACCAATGCCCCTTGCCTTTTGATTTTTAAATGCGTCATTTAGATCAAAATAACGAGTGTGCCTACTCGTGGATCGACTGTCCTTTCGGAATTTCTCATTCTACACACATAGTGCTACTGTTGTACCTTAGAAGGCTGCCTATTTTGTTCGTTTTACGAAAAACAATGAGAAAATATCTGCAATATATACATATATGAATGAATGTAGGTGTTTAAACCGATCA